AGGACATTCGTCGGACCGTTTTCCGACTGCTGAGAAAACGCCAACTCTGCTTATCCTTCTCCAAATCCAACGAACTGATCCCCAAAACTTAATTCTTCAATCAAAAAGAGAAACTTCACAACATAATCCAACATCGGATTTGTGAAGAAATTACTCTCCTTTGAAAGAACAATTAAGCATGCACCAATGAAACGGAATCCACTCGAAACACCTTCGGATTTTGGCTTCACCTTCCAAAGAGAAGCTTAAAAACATGCAGAAGGAAGACTAGAACTAATCCGTTAAACGGAAATTTATTGCAGCCTAAAGAAAAGAAATCGGTTAACACCGAAAGAGAAATCCGATTGAAACGGAATATAACAATCCGATTAAGATCGGAAGACAAAAAGATAATTTGATATTTCTCTCTCTCTGAAAGGTTTTGGAGAGAGAAGAGAGAGAGAGTCTTCTCTTGAAGCTGGAGTATAAACATTGAGGTTCGTGGAGGGAATTTTTCCGGGTAAGGGTGATAATTAGAGTTTCAAAAGCTGAATAATGTAATTTCCGTCACAACTCACAAGGAAATGTAAACACTACCTTTAACGTATGGAAAAACCAGAATTTTAACTTCTAGAAGAGAATAGATCATGGTACACACAGACCATAACCATCCTTATTGCACAATTTTTGTGAGTGTCTTAAGATAAACTAATAATAAAATACTAATATTAAATTATGAGTTAAAAATAATTAAAAAAAAAAACCTCAATAAAAATGTCTCAAGGAAGACACTTTAGACATGGTGTCTCATATTCCAAAAAAGAAAACAGTTATCTTACAATATTGATATTTCTTTTTTAATTATATATTAAGACACTCTCCTAATATGTCTAATGAAGATGGTCAAATATCAAATACTTTATATTGTCTTGAGTTTCGGGTTGATGCCTAAGTATACATAACAATAGGACTTCTCACATTGTGTGATCCGTCCGACCAAACCAGAGACGCTGACACGGTACCAGAAATACCGGCAAGACTCTTGCGGAACACTGTAACTGTGAAAGACTTCTTCTCACCTAAAGACTTGAAAGAGAGCGTCTCTGGCTCAACCTTGATGCTGAGTTTGGGATTCCCGGACAGTTTTGCTCTGTAAATGGATCCCTTTTTCCCAACATTGGTGACTGTTCTTGAAAATCTGATATCCGCAGTGGATGCAGCTGAAAATTTGGTTGCCATTGAAGGGTAGTTGAGATCTCTCACGTTGAGATTTTTTTTAGAACAAATAAAGGATCCACCGGCGACAATACTAATGCCTTTGGAAGTGTAGCCCAAAGAGCAGAGCATGTTCAAGTAGTTCTCTTTGGATATATGGTAAACAAGCCCTGGATTAACTGCCACTGTAGGGTTAACGTATCCTGCTCCATATGCAAACTCGGCTTCTGCATTTTTGGAAGCGTTCATTGCCCAAGCTGCAACATAACCAAACAAAAAAGGATCGATTCGGGTCTCAACAAGTCACTTAAGTTATTTGATGTTTGATGTTTGTTAATTTACCGGTAGTCATGATAGCAGATTTGATAGCAGAAGCAGACCATGTAGGATGGAATGTCTTGACATAAGCAGCTACACCTGCGACATGAGGGCAAGCCATAGATGTCCCGGACATGAAATAGTAATCCACGCTTTGTCCAGGAACTTCGGTTGGAGACAATGGTGAATATGCTGCTAATATATTCACTCCTGGCGCTGTTATATCAGGCTGCACACATTTATATATTTACCTTATAATGTCAAGACAAATGCAAATTATAACTCAATGGTTTTGTGATTTTTGTTTTCAATGAATATCACCTTCAGAATGTCGGTAAAGAGAGTGTTTGGACCACGAGAAGAGAAGGAAGCAACGACTGGAGCATTTTTGTCCTTAACTGTCGTACTCTTCAATATAGTTCCTTGTGGGTTTCTGTTTCATAACGACAAAATGTCAAAAACATTTTAAAAATAATATAATCAAAGACTGTTATAATGGCAAAAGTTCTTACGGTGTGGAGAGAACGTAAGATCTCAATGCCATGTAATTGGTATCGTCTAATATTGCAACCGGAAGAGGACCAGTACCAGGAATTTCAACATTAGTTACATGAAGGATAACTCCAACCGCACCCGCTGCTCTAGGTTCATTAGTATTACATGAATAATCGCACACAACGATCTTTCCCTTTACCGTGTTCAGGCAACCGCTTGCGCAATTCCTACCCATAGAATACAGACACATCAGTAAAAGAAATTATCTCCAAGGTGAAAAGTTTAAAGGAATTTCGTAAGACACAAGTTAGGTCACTAGACATCACTTGAGTAACAAGTTACCTTGCTTGCTCCTCTGTACAGTTGTTTGAAGCAGTTTTCCCGTACGCCAAAGGATACTTCTTTCCCTTTAGATCAAATTCATTGATCGATCTTCCCTGTATGTTCATACTTTAATCACCATGATTGATGAAAACAAATTACATTCATATTTCAACAAGAACAAAGATAAAACTTCTTACAGTTATCGTCTTGCCATCTCCACTAACAACATTAGTAACAAATTTTCGATCAGTAGAACCCGCAGCAACGGTTATGATCCATGGTGCAAGGTTACCTGCTTTTCCAAGTTCAGTGCCAGCATTTCCGGCAGAAGCTGTGGTAACAACCCCTTTGCTCATCGCGTGAAACGATCCAATAGCGATAGGGTCAGTATCTACTTTAGTAACACCTCCAGCAATAGAAATGGTTATAATATCGACCCCATCGGCTATAGCATCGTCAAAAGCAGCCAAAAAACTTGCGGCGTTGCAGCCTGCTGGCTCGCAAACTCTGTAAATAGCAACTCTACCCAAAGGCACACCGCCTCTTGCAGTTCCTTGTGCCACACCGTTAAAACTCACTCCTTTTACTCTGTTTCCTGCGGCTGTTGAAGCTGTGTGTGACCCGTGAGAGTTACTGTCCCTCGCCGAGTCCTGAACATAGTGTCGTGCTCCAATCAACTTCCTGTAGAATTTGGATTAGGGTTAGTTAAACATCTATATCTTCTGATCGTTTCGTGTCACGCAAGAAACTTGGAGAAGAGATTTGAAAAATGTTTGTTTACTTGTTGCATGTGAAATTAGTTCCTCCAGCGCAAGTTCCTTTCCATTTCTTTGGTATCGGGCCTATGCCTTGGTCTGAAAAACTCTTGGATTCAGGCCAGATTCCGTGATCGATTACACCAATTATTGTATTCGTCTCGACATTAGGGACTTGCTTGCTCTTGCCACCAAGTCCCATGAACTCATAAGAATTTGTAGTTGAAGGTTTATAAACGGTGTCTGGGAAAACCGAAACCACACCTTCGATGCCTTCAAATCACACATAACATAATCATCATCAAATTAACCATCATCACAAGGTTCATAATCATTTTACATATAATCAGATAACTAACCAGCAAGTTTGTCTCTTTCAGATTCAGTGAGTTTAGCTGAAAAACCACTGAAACTTCTTCCATAGCTTCTGACCAAAGAATCTTCTACGGAACTGTGGAACAAAAAGAAAAGACAAGTGACAAACGATGCATAAAACAACAAGAAACAAGGCTGAGAGCATTTGAGAGTCTTAACTAAACCTTGATTCAATTACTTCTTGAAGGATATTCTGGTGGTGAGACATAGGAGAGTAAGAAGGTTTTGAAGGAAGAGCTCCCATGTAAGCAATATACACCTGTGTGTGTCAAAATGTTATAAGGAATGAATTTGGCCAATTATACAAATTATGTCAAAATGTTATAAGAAAAGCAATGACTTGCCTTTCTTTCATCCTCAATAGCCGTAGGAATCTGACAAAGCTTCATGAGAAGAACCGATGCGAGACAGAGGATCAAGCCAAGGGAAGCCATTTTCGAGACGTTTAATTGTTGATATGAGTTCTTTACACGTGAAGATGCTTTATATAATGTGTGTTTGATATAGAGAGAAATTATATTGACAATGCATTGATGTTGTCGAGATTTTAGCATATATGTATTTGAAATGTGGATTGATTATATTATTATATTTCATTTTAAATGGCGAATTATTTGATGGAAAATCTGATTGATTAGTATTTTTTATTTTTTATTTCATTACTTTTTTTAGTAAATTGATTACTATACATATTTATATTTTAGGAATCCTTTTTTGTATTAATTTTAGTAAAAAATATAGTAAGTGCAGAAAATGGTTTTATATAGAGAATAAGATTCATCCTTAGTTAATGAAGGGAAAAAAAATCATCCTTAGTATTCCACTAAATCACTTTCAGATTTTGTAAAAATAGGATGATATCATTGGTATATCTTTTCTTATCTGACTAATTACTCACAACTCAAGGAATATATAAATTTTACGAAAATAATTATATTGCTACAGAAAATGGATCTGGGGTTTAAGAAAATTATGAGATAATATTATTAATTTCATTTGAGTCTAGTTAGAGTATTATTTATAACCACAACTAAAATTGACTATCAGTTCAGTTTAGACAATTTGGAAGAAACAACCATCTTAATAATTAATTATAGATGAAGTTTGCTAGAGCGGGGGTATTAGATTTTTCTTCCGTCAATTTTAGGTATAGGTTATCTTTTGCTATATAGATAGTTTTACTCAGTTGGTTAATTTTAATTAACCCCCTAAGGCCACAATAGATATATAATTACGTAAATGTATATATAATTACGGATGACTACTATTATGGATGATGTATGTAATGTAGTCTATGTATCGTCCACACCACAATCAACGATATACGGATGAGCAATGTTCAATGTTTTGAACGCTAAAGAAGAAGCTGGAGAATAAATATTGTGGACGTTGAGGTTCATGTTGAACACGATTTCTCTTGCAGAGTTGCACTGTTATATAATTATTGCTGGGAATATTCTCTATTAAAACCTTTTGTAAAACCCCATAAAATACAATAATTATTGTAAAACAAAGTTTATTTTCCACTAATAATCATATTTAGACATTTCCTGGACCACCATAATAAATTACACGACCCGTCTCAATGTCTTTATCTATTTTTTGCTTGACGCCATAACCTCGAGTATTATCCGAAACCGCTTCGATATTGTTCACTTGTCGATCATATTGAAAATTTCCGTCAAGTATGGAAATACGTTTGATATATGCATCCTCAAGTCTTTTTCCAGTTGGAAAATATCCAAATCCCATTTGCGGACTTGGCAGCCATGCTCTGAACACTTCGCCTCCCCATTCAACCTTGTCTCCAAAGGTTTGGCCAAAAATCTGCTCCGGCCAAACTCCGATTTGTTCTGACTTTCGACCTAACAGCAACCACCAATTCCCACTTGCTTGGTCCTGTCAGAAAATAATTATGTATATGTCAGCACTTAATAACTATAAACACCGGGTAAATATGGATACTGAAATTAACCATATACGTCTAGTTAGGGATGCCATTTATAATTATATTAGACCAAATTTCATCGAACCAATATCTTAGATTTGTTTAACTTTAAACTCTAATCATATGATCATCATGATAATTTAGTGCAATTACACTAAGAAAATATAAAATGCCGTAACTAAAGACCTTGATAAGACCGAAGGTTGTAGAGTAAGCTTCCATAGCACGAATAGACACTGGGCTCAGTGCCATACCAAGTGGAAGATCTTGACGAACGCTTATCATGCCTACGTCGCAATGATTATTGAAACATGATTTTTCACCTGCCTGTAACATCAATATATATAATCACGTTACATTGTAAACACATTCATATATTCTAGTAAACTTTTACAATCCAGTTTAATAGCATGATGTGACTGAACTCTTACTTTTGTAAAGACGTAGATCCGAGGATTGTGGTCCTTGTACAATACTGGATTTACCTGAATATTAGTGCATATATTATGTATATAGTTTAGTTAATTATTTACCTATTAAACAACATAAATAATACATAACGTTGGTTATAGAACCGAAGTGACTTACTGTTATACCGGCTTGGATGAAATCATCTCCCATCTGAAAGTGAATCCGAGAAGCACTATGTTGGGTAGGTTTAACCTGAGGAGCAGTTATACAAAGATCCATTGTTGCTCCATTGTAGCGCATTCCTTTACCCTTCGTCCGACCCACCGCATGCTAATAACCAAACATACTAAATTACTATTATCATCATAAATATATCAAAATTTTACTTTGAGAGTTAGGTTAATTTATTGAAAGTAGCATCTTACATAATGTTGGTCGGGATGAAGAACATTTTTAGGACCAGAAGTGCTGGTGTTCCAAGAACCATGAGGTTTATATTTATCGTCTAGCGAGTTTAATGCCAAAATGTCTTCTTTGGTGACTCTTCTTATAGGTACCGTACCAATGGGACAACCCACACCATTCTCCCATAAGTGACCAAAAACAGTATTGTTTGTTTTTCTTTCTCTCATCCCCTTCCATATTGGACGCATCTAAGATATGTCCAAAACCAGAGAAAACAATATTACGTACTGTCGTTTGGGTTTTATGATTCAAAGAATATATAGAGAATGTATCCATAAATGTACCTTGTAATGGTAAGTGTGATTTTTCATAGAAGGGTGATCGAATGCTGGTTGCTTGAAGAAATCCACACATGCGTATCGTTCTCCATTGATAGTCTATCATTTGTACCCATGAATATAGATCTTAATATATATTTAAGTTTATATATATAGTAGAAACTCTATATATTAATAAAATATAATATAATAATTTCCTCTCGTAACATATATTTTAGTTGGATTAGTGTAAAAATTAATAAAATTCGATAAAATAATAAAATAATAATAATTTTGAAGCTTATATGTATATGTGGTTCCATTAATATCATAAATTAATAGTTACTATAAATAATCTTATATAAATATATCTATGATAATATACTAAAATATAAGATTAAAATTTTACTTGTTTTTATTAGAACTTATATATATATATATATATTTAGAATTCATCCCTAATTTTAGAATGAAACTATACAAAATACAATAAAATTTTATTTATTTATTATATTATTTAAAGTAATTATTAATAAAAAAAAATTATTCAAGATCCATAATTTAATAACTCTATATAATAATAAAATATCAAAGTTCCAATATTGTTAGTTTATAGAGTTTCTACTGTATCTGAATTAACCTTGATGATTTTTACAGCGGGCTTGTTGATAGACTTTAGTTTCTTCTCAATTTCTAGATCATCAAGTTTAGACAAGCTCTTGGCGGCTTCGATAAAGCCATAGTTATGACTTGTAAATATGTAACACATCAAGAACACCCACATCATTGGGCCTCTCGCTTCCATTTTTATCAACAAGAGAGAAAAAAGAGTAAGAGATAGATTTTGAAATTGAAAGGATGAAAGCTGGATGTTTTAAATACTTATATAAATTGTAACATCGAGGAGGCTGAGAAAGGAGAGATTTGGGGTCTAATCAATTCAAAAACGTTGACCAAAAGCTTATGGAGAGACTTTTATGGTGATATATTAATTCATTTATTAACCTTTGTTCAAAACCATAAATGATTATTTTCAGATTCCAATTAACCTTCAATACAAGGGACTCTTATTATTTTAGGAAGTACTTATCTAGCTATATAGTACTTCCTTCATTACTTAAAAATAAGTTTTCTAATTTTTCACACATATTAAGAAAAAATTGTTTTTCAATCATAAGTTTACAGATTCTTGCAATTACACTATTTTTATAACTCTAAACCAATAAAAATCCAAAAATTATGGCTATTCTTAATAAATGTTTTTTGAAATCTGAAAAAATGTATCAAAAAACTTTAAATTTTTATCTTTCTGAAACAATAAGAAATTGCTAGAAAATTCGTTATAAAAAAACGGAGGGAGTATTAGACAAAATGGAATAAAATAACCTTGAAAAATTAGATAATAACTCATATAACTTTAAAATTTTTAAAAGGGGTAATCTCAGAGTATAACTAACTTTGTTATCATATTATATATTCATATAAACATGATAAAATAGTAAATATATATATATATATAATATTTAAGTTAGCGTATAACATATACAAATATTTGCCAATACTAATCACAAGTTAACGTGACGACCAAAAACAAAATCATAACTTAGCGTGATAACAACAATAAGATCTTCACTTTGGTCAGATCATCGTCTCTGGCGCATCACTGGCGCATCACCACTGTCACCTTCACGGCTTCACCAGCGTTTCAATAGTCATTTTTGCCGGTGTGTCACCACCATCCATCACCACTTTCTTCTTCTTCAATGAGAAAAGGATGTGATTGTCTTTTTTGACATGAACAATAACCCTTGGATCAAGTCACGTCCCCGGTGTATTAACAGATTGAATCACGAGTCTGTTTAGCCTTCGTCTCTACCATCACCCATCCCGCAAGGCTTTGATCTCCTGAAGAGTCATTAACAAATAAAGAACAACATTATTAGAATCATTTAAATGTAGTGTTCCAAGAACCACGTGGTTTATAGTTATCACTGTCTAATCCTCTAATGAGTTTAAAATATGACCGGAAACAATAACTATCACCGTCTTTTTCTCTTTATGTACATGTATGAATCTACATATAGAGAATGGATCAAAAATTATATAAAATTTAGTTGTAACAAGATTATGAATTAACCTTGATGATCTTGACAGTGATGTTTGTTGATAGTGTTTAGTTGCTTTTCAATGTCTAGATCTTCAAATTTAGACAAGCTCTTGGGTTCGATAATTGTTTTTTTTTTTTTGAACCAGACGATAATGCCATTGTTATGACTTGTAATTATGTGACCAAAGACGTAGCACATCAAGAACACCCACATCAGTGTGGGCCTCTGACTTCCATTTGTACCAAATATAGCAAGAGAGGGAGAGTGAGAGAGAGAGTTGATTGGTTAGAAGGGTTCAAGCTATGTCCCATTTCAGAACTATCATATATCATATCTACACAAAATTTATGTTCACCACATGAAAGTTAAAGATTTATTTACACAAAATGAAAAATTGAAACCAAATTACACACGGATTTGAAATTCTCGGTTACTGTTTCAAAACCAAACATAAAACAATTTTAAACTATATCATTACAAAAAAAAAAAAAAAAAACAATTTTAAACTATATTTAACCAAACTCGACCCAAAAATAAAGACCAATTAACAACTCGATCTTCTTCTTCTTCACTTGACATATAATGTTGAAAATTGTCGAAGAACGCTTGGTTAAATGGTGGAATCTCTTTTCATTTCTCCACTTCCTAAAATGGATCCTATGCAAAGCTTAGAGGTCACAAGATCGAGTGCCGCTTGGGACGAAACGAATATTACATGCTATGGTTTCGGGCCTACTTTCACGATCCACAGAATGGAGCTCAGGTTAGTTAGTTAATGAGAACTTGTGTTTTTGATATATTAGTACAAAACAAGCATTAACATTTGTTCAAAACCGTTGACCAAAAAAACCGATGCATGTTACTGATCACAGTTTATGTTACCGACAAACAATCGTAACTACCATCATTAGTAAATAGTAATGACCTCCTTTTAGATAATTCATCTGGTTATGGCAAATTCTCAATTTGTTTATTATTATTACTAGGAATTGTAGTGCGGGGTTGTTTGCATATATTTTTGTTGTTCATTATCATTTATATACTTTACAAACTGTGTTCTTAATGTTTTTCCTTTATGTGTTGTTCTGTATATATGATATTGATATGTATTGATGTTTATTTAAAATATTTATACAAAAAAAAAATTGAGTGTTTTTCTTTAATGTTAGAAATAGTCAATACTTTAGTTTTTTTTACATCAAAATCAATAATTTAGTTTTATATATAACTTATTTTTATTACTTAAATTTAACTTAGCTTTCAACAGTTAAACATTTTGCATGAAATTTTATTACATACACTATCTTTTTACATAATATATATATTTTAGACATTTTAAATTTTCAGTACATTTTTTTCTTTTAAAAACAAATCTCTTGCATCTACTGTTAAAAATTAACTTTTAATCTTTTAAATATTAAGTTCAACCAATTTTTATTTATTTTTGGTTGAATAATAAATCATTCAATGATATTATGAAAGTGTATGTATTAATTGAATCATTAATTTTGATTTAATTAATTTGTATATATTTTTGCTTATGTGGACACTCTAAGGGCATCTCCAATGTATTGCCTCATATTTAACTCCAAAATGAAGAAATCTCAAAATGGAGTTGGGTTTTGCTCCAATGTATTGCCTCATTTTTTACTTCAAAACTTTTTATTAATTACTAAATTTACATTGTATATTTATATATATTACAAATTGCCCCATAATTTTTTTCTTCAAAAATTTCACAATTTATTATAATTATTTAAATTAATTATGAAAATATTAATAATACATTATTACAAGACTAAAAATAACAACACAAACTTGATCAATAATAGTTGTTTTAATAAATTTATTTTTGATGTTATTTCTAATAAACAAAATTTCCTTTCTATTTAAATTTATTATTACCTTAAATAATTAAATTTCTATTAAATATGTGTTATTTGTATTTTAGAGTAAAAATAAACATCAAAATAATTAATTATATATAAACTAAAATAATTTAAAACTTCAAGGACTGTTATATAATTTAAAAACTTCAACTCCAAAATGGAGATGAAAATGGGATCAACCTCAATTTGGGAAAAAATATGGCATTTTGCCATTTTGAGATTGAAAATGAGTTGGGTTGGAGCAAAATTGACTCCAAAATGACAATAAAGTGAAATATAGGGCTGTTGAGATGCTCTAAGAGGAGAGAGCAACTTCTTAATTATATATTGTATAAGATATATTTCTTTTAATAGTAAAACTCATATATATTGAAAAGCCAAAACAACATACGTTTTAACTTTCATAGTACAAAGATGTAATTAGTATATTTAGATATTTCCCGGACCACCAAAGTAAATTATATGACCCTTGTCAGGGTGTTTGAATTGGAGACTATCTATCACGTCATAGCCTTGAATGTTATCAGAAAATTCTTCGAGATGATTCACTTTTTGATCGAAGTGAAAATTATCGTCAAGTATGGCAATACGTTTGACATATGCATCATAAACAACTGAAGAAGCTGGAAGAAATCCATATCCCATTTCAGGACTCGGTTAATTTGCACTAAACACTTCTCCCCACTCGACTTTGTTTCCAAAGCTTTGAGGAAACTTTTGAGACGGCCAAAATCCGATTTCTTCTGCATTATCACCAAATTGCAGCCACCAATTGCCATTTGCTTGGTCCTGTTTTTATAAAAATAATAGTCACATATTAACAAATAAGTAAAATTTTAAAACATATTTTCCATAAATAAAGCTGTAACCAAAGAAATAACAAAACCTTAATTAGACCGAATATTCCGTAGTGACTTTCCGAACTACCACGAATGGACACTGGCTTAAATGGCATGCCCAATGGAAAATCTTGACGAACGAGTATCATTCCCACATCGCAATGGGTATTGTAACATGATTTTCCACCTGCCTGTACCATCAAATAACAGTCATATATCCTTAAAGTTAATCACGTAACATATCTTCTCTTGTCTTCTAAATAATCACAAGTCATGATATGATAGACTCTTACGTGTGTATAGACGAAAGTCCGAGGCTGGACGTCCCCGTATAGTACTGGATTTACCTGAATTAGTACATATAGATTTTGTGTGTTTTTAAATGATCTATTAAACATCCATATTTTATGTTGGTTATTAAACCGATTAAACGACTTACAGCGAAACCGATTTGGATGTAATCATTTCCCAACTGAATGTGAAGCCGCGAATGACTGAATTGTCGAGGCTTAACCCAAGGAGCAGTTATGCAAAGATCCATTGTTGCTCCATGGTAGTGTATTCCTATGTCCTTCGTCCGACCCACCGCATACTAATTTAGTAATTTCCATTCAATAACCAACAATATTATTAATGTGCACAAAAAAAAACCCAACCATATTATTATTAAAAATAAATCAAAATATTATTTAAAAACTAATTTATTTAAAATTTAAAGAGGCAACTTAAATGATATTGTACGTTATTAACAGGGTTATTAGAATCATTAAATATAGTGTTCCAAGAACCACGGGGTTTATATTTATTTAACGAGTGTAAGCTCAAGAGATCATCTTTGGTGACTCTTCGTATAGGGACTGTACCAATGGGACAACCCACACCATTCTCCCATAAGTAACCCAATCCGGTACTGTTTGTCTTTGTTTTTCTCATTCCTTCGGGATGCCATATTTGACGCATCTAAGATATGACCAAACAAAAATTAATTGCACATGTTTTAAAGCATCTACATAGAGGGAACGGATCAAAATATATGTACCTTGTAATGGTAAGTGTGGTTTTTCATAGAAGGGTGATCAAATGCCGGTTGCTTGAAGAAATCCACACATCCATATAGTTCTCCATGTATAGTCTATCATTTGTAGCCATAAATAATCTTAGTATATGTATTTCATTCATATATAATTTAGTTGTAACAAGATTATGAATTAACCTTGATGATCTTGATAGCGGGTTTGTTTATAGTCTTTAGTTGCTTCTCAATTTCAAGATCTTCAAATTTAGAGAAGCTCTTGGCTTCCATAAATCCGTAGTTATGGCTTGTAATTATGTGACCAAAGAGGTAACACATCATGAACACCCACATCATTGGGCCTCTCACTTCCATTATTATCAACAAGAGAGAAATAGAGTGAGAGAGACTTGATTGATCTTTAAAGGAGGTAAGCTAGATGTGTTAAATAGTTATATATGGTAACGTCGAGGAGGCTGAGAAAGGAAATATTTGGGGTCTAATCAATTCAATACCGTTGACCAAAAAATTATGAAGAGACTTTTATGGTGATATATTAATTCAGTAAAATTTGTTCAAAGCCGTTGACCAAAATACGTAAACAATTATTTTGTTTCCAATTCTTTATGAAACTACCGCATTCTTATTAGTTCTGGGACGACCTTTTTTGCTCAACAATTATTGAAGAGACTTGTCTGGTTATATATTAATCAAGGCCGATGTTATTGTGTTTATTTTATACATGAGTTTTTAGTTTTCTTTAACATTCATACATTTTTTTTTTGCTTCTTTCTTTCAAATTAGTTGTGTTCTGAGCTTATTTTTTATTTCATTTTAGTTGTCATTTTGTAATTTTAATTTACATTTATGATATATTTTTCCAATTTTAACCCTATTATTTTAGCTTGTTAACTAGTTATATTAAACAAAATATTGTATTAAATAGAGCTAAAACAATAAATCTGATTATTTTATGTGTGAAAACTCAGAACGACACATAAAAAGAAACGGAGAGAGCAAGTATTATCATAGAAAAAAATTATATAATCACTATGACTTTGATTGGAAGAGCAGTTTAGTGGGTTTAGACTTTTTAAATGCCAATCATATATATTTAATTGAGCATAAAATGAAGCATGGAGAGCTCCAAAACTCCTAGATGGGCCAATGCTCTCAAAATGAGCTTTTCCAAGCATTATAAATTGATAAAAGTCATAAATACACCTAATTATATCCCTAATTCTTTTTAAAATGAGTTTTTCTCTTGAACGTATTATGTCTATTTTGGTAATTTGGCATGAAAAGTTATCTGCTCTCCCAGTAATAAATTATGATTTTATTAATTAAAGCTCTTCTGGTTCCATGCTTTTACTTTTCATAACTACAGCTCCACTATAGACTCTTTCAATCAATGCGGTAGTCTAATGATTTTTGTTTGTTGTTGATAAGTTGTAATCACTAACGTGTTCAAAAACGTTGAACAAAAAAACATGATGCTGACAGGTTTATGTTACCAACAAACAATCGTAAACCGCATTTAAAAAAAAAAAAAATCGTGAACCAAGTATCATCATTTATAAATAGTAATGACCTCCTTTTTTGGTAAATCATCTGGTTATTGGCAAATTCTCAATTTGTTTATTATTATTCTTATTTTTTATAGAAACAATCATATATATTGAAAAGCCAAAACAACATATATTTTAACTTTGATATTAAAAAGATGTAATTAGTATATTTAGATATTTCCCGGACCACCAAAATAGATTATATGACCCTCTTCAGGGTCTTTGAATTCGAGACTATCTATCACGCCATAGCCCTGAATGTTATCAGAAAATTCTTCGAGATGATACACTTGTTGATCGAAGTGAAAATTATCGTCAAGTATGGCAATACGTTTGACATATGCATCATAAACTACTGAAGCAGCTGGAAGAAATCCATATCCCATTTCAGGACTCGGTTGGTTTGCGCTAAACACTTCTCCTCCCCACTCGACTTTGTTTCCAAAGCTTTGAGGAAACCTTTGTGCCGGCCAAAATCCGATTTCTTCTGCATCATCACCCAATTGCAGCCACCAATTGCCATTTGCTTGGTCCTGATTTTATAAAATAATAATCACATATTAACAAATCTAATTAAAAATATATTTTCCCAAATAAAGCCGTAACTTAAGAAATAACAAGACCTTGATTAGACCGAAGATTACGTAGTGACTTTCCGAACTACCACGAATCGACACTGGCTTAAATGGCATGCCCAATGGAACATCTCGACGAACAAGTATCATTCCCACATCACAATGGCTATTGTAACATGATTTTCCACCTGCCTGTACCATCAAATAACATTCATATATATCCTTAAAGTTAATAACGTAACATATCTCTTTTCTTCTAAATAATCAAGATATGATAGACTCTTACGTGTGTATAGACGAAAGTCCGAGGCAGGACGTCCCCGTACAGTACTGGATTTACCTGAATTAATACATATATAAAATTTTGTGTGTTTTTAAATTTATCTGTTAAACATCCACATTTCATCTTGGTTAACCGATTAAATGACTTACAGCGAGACCTATTTGTACGTAATCATTTCCCAACTGAATGTGAAGCCGAGAATGACTGAATTGTTTAGGCTTAACCCCAGGAGCAGTTATGCAAAGATCCATTGTTGCTCCATGGTAGTGTATTCCTGTGTTATTCGTCCGACCCACCGCATACTAATTTCCATTCAATAATCAGCCATAATATTATAAATAAATCAAAATATTATTTAAAAATTAAGTTGTTTAATTAAAAGAGGCAACTTACATGATACTGGTCGTTATGAACAGGGTTATTAGAATCATTAAAGTTAGTGCTCCAAGAACCACGAGGTTTATATTTATCATCGTCTAACGAGTTTAAGCTCAAGAGATCATCTTTGGTGACTCTTCGTATAGGGACTGTACCAATTGGACAGCCTACACCATTCTCCCATAAGTAACCGAATCCGGTATTGTTTGTCTTTGCTTTCCGCATTCCTTCGGGATGCCATATTGACGCATCTAAGATATTACCAAACAAAAATTATTATCTTTTTTTTTTTCTTTTTCCCTTCTGTATGCACATGTTTTAAAGCATCTACATGACTACATATAGGGAGTGGATCAAAATACGTACCTTGTAATGGTAAATGTGATTTTTCATAGAAGGGTGATCAAATGCTGGTTGCTTGAAGAAATCCACATCCGTATAGTTCTCCATGGATAGTCTATCATTTGTAGCCATAAATAGAGCTTAGTATTTATATTTCATTCATATATAATTTAGATGTAACAAGATTACGAATTAACCTTGATGATCTTGATAGCAGGTTTGTTGATAGTCTTTAGTTGTTTCTCAATTTCTAGATCTTCAAATTTAGAGAACCTCTTGGCTTCCATAAATCCGTAGTTATGACTTGTAATTATGTGACCAAAGATGTAACACATCAAGAACACCCACATCACTAAATGTACGTCGAGAGAGAGAGAGAGAGAGAGAGAGAGAGAGAGAGAGAGAGAGAGAGAGAGAGAGAGAGAGAGAGATGATTGGCTTTGAGGGACGAAAGTAAACGGTTTTATATAGTTATAGGGTCAAGGAGGCTCACAAAGAAACAAAAAAAAATATTTTGTTTTTTTAGCAAATCAAGACCTTGCCAGAGTTGCAGTCCACACAGTGAATTACGTTACACGTTTTTACGTTACAAATTGAGTTACGTTACACTTTCATATTTTTTCTTTCCTTGTTTGTTCATTTGTTCAGACTTCAGAGTAGGAGCGGTCCGTTCACATTCAACTATAGTCCAAACATCCTCATTTATCCATCAAATAATATTCCTTGACTTGCAGTAAAACAAGCAGTCCTTAACTTTCAATTGGCTACAATTAAAAGCAATTGACATTAATTTGCATAACCACTATTTCTCGTGATGCATCCATCTTTCCTTCGCCGATTCTTCACATTATTAGAGTTATCCAAATTTTGTCAGTTCATATAACCGCTATGATATACCAATTGAAAAAACAAGCAAAGATGAACAAGAACACAGTTATGAATTTTGTCGCATCAGGTTTTCTTTTATTAGAAATATGTTAAGAAGTTATAGAACTCTTAATTGGTCAACACGGAAACTGAGCACTCCTTTGAAGTATTTCAAAGTTATTATATTACTCATAGTGATAATAATAGTTTACTCCTACGATTCTGAAGTTAAATACGACCGTGGCCCAACTAATTTAGGAAAGGCCCAATTAGCTGATCCAGCCCACAAGAAGAGAGCCCTAACGCTTCCTCGTACGCTAAAAACGCAGCCTCGGGAAGTGGATGAGCCACCACCGGTCCATCCGACCATCACCGTGAGCCGAGTGAAGCTTTCCTCGTGAGACGAATCCGACGTGAAACCACACCGAGCCATCGTCTTCTAGATTCCGCCGCCACGAGTCACCACCGACCACCGTCGTCCGTGAATCATCTACGTGGTAAGAGATTCACGCTTTTTCCATCGTCTCTGTTAAGTTCATGTTTTTCATTTTTGTTCCTCACAAGAATTCTTAAAATAAATAATTAAAGGACCAAATATTTTTTTCTACCCTATAGACCTTCCGTTACCTCTATTGCATGACTCTGCGTTTGTTCTTGCTTGTGACCTATTCTTTACCGGTCGCTCGGAGAAAACCTAATTCTGGCATTCTACAGGTTGGTGTTCCCTTTCAACGATAAAAGGTGATTGTGAAGATAAGATCGATGGAAAACATCAGCCAGTTTCCTGATGATATACTTTTGAAGGTACTATCGTTTCTTCCAACAAAAGTTGCTGCAAGCACGAGTGTTTTATCGAAGCGATGGGAGTTTCTTTGGATGTGGTTGCCTAAACTTGATTACGAATCTAGCAATTGCTCAAATGATTATTACTCTACATTACAGAGTTTTATCATTTTTAATCTGCCATTACATAAAGCTCCGATCATCGAAAGCTTGCGTGTCAAGATTCTTACTCTGCGCGTTTACGATATCCATACGTGGGTTTTAATTGCAGTTTCTCGCTGCGTCCGTGAGTTACGTCTCAACGTGGATTTTTTTTATAATGACAATGTTGTTGGGTTACCCAGTAGTTTGTATACCTGCAAATCGCTAGTAATCTTGGAACTGATAGGCTGTTTTTCCGTGGATGTTCCTCGTATGGCTTGTTTCCCATCCCTGAAAACTTTGATCCTTGTACGTGTGTGGTACGAAGACGCAAAATCTCTTTGCCAAATTCTTTCCAACTCCCCTGTTCTTGAGGATCTAGTGGTGGAACGAACTCAACATGACGATCATATTAAACCATTTACGTTGAGTGTTGCTGTCCCGTCCTTGCAGAGATTAACCCTAAAGATATCTAGAGGAATTTCTTTTGAAGGGCTTGTGATAAACACTCCTTCTTTGAAGTCTTTGACTTTCAGTGTTAAGGATTATAAAGGTGACGAATATTATGTAAGTGATAGTGATGATGATGATGATAGTTACTCCTACGATTTTGAAGTTATGCCCAAGTTGGAGGAGGCAGATATTGAATCGCCACACCCTGATATCAACAAGTTTGTTAGGTCAATCACATATGTCAAGCGGCTTTCGTTATGCATATGTGTCAATGCTGAAGAGGTAATATTATTTTTTACATTCATCTATCAATCTCATTTTTAGAACACTAGACCAGGTTTTCTTGAGGTCTGAATCCTTCATTATTCATAAAAAAAAAACATTCCTTTGCAGGCTTTATATGGTGAGGGTATTGTCTTCAACCAGCTTCAGCATTTAAAGCTATGTTCATGTGATCCAAATTGGTCAATATTACTTGTCCGGTTACTCAACGATTCTCCTAATTTACGAGAGCTCCATGTCTATCTAAAGGAGGTAAGTTTCTCCATACCAGACCTAGCTATATCTTCTCTTGGTTTAGTTTTAATGTAAATATATATGTTTTAAGCCAAGCTCTCTTGTTTGAGATCTCAGGATCATACAAATAGTTGTTTGGATCCAACGGTTTGCTGGGAGGATCAACTTGATTGTGTTCCTGGCTGTTTGTTGACGAGTCTCGAAACATTCAAGTGGACAGGGATATCTGGATCGCAGAAAGAGATAGATCTGTGAAATATATATTAAGAAATGCTTGTTGTTTAAAGACTGCGACCATCTTGTTTCGGGATAAACAAGAGATGAGGATCAAAGAGTTGTCACTTTGTGTTCCCAGTTCAACAGCATGTCAACTCATATTTGATTGAGGATTTGAGTCATCGGATGTTTTCATTTATATAATATTCAGACTTTGCTTTTCATAGAGATTATTTTTGTCATGCCATATTCATTTATCATTCTCACTTTTATGTAATAATATGAAATATGAAATAATGTTTACATTCATCAATCATTCTCACTTTTAGAACACTAGACCAGGTTTTCTTGTAGGTCGAATCCTTGGTTAATGTTTTTTCGTGCAGGATAATTATAACTCACATAATCGACACGTGTGATTTTTTATTTTAGTCAGTTGTTAAACAAAAAGAAAAACAAAAAACAAGTGATCATATTTTAACAGAAAAATGTTTCATATTCTAAAAGAAGAAAAGTTATTTTTGCATGCCATATTCTAACAGAAAAATTTCATATTATACCAGATAAAAAAAAAAGTGCATGTTTACCATATTTTCTGTCTTATCAAACCCTATATAATAATACTTGTAACCTTCAAACTTTAATTTTGTGCTTCCATCTTTTTAAAAATTTTAGAATTAAAAAAAAATCATGTACATTGGAAAGTTAATGGCATTTCCAAGATTGCGTTGAAATATTGAGTTTTGTACTGAGCAATGTACTAGATCAACTATCGCTTTCAATATGCAAAACATGTGTATGTGTTATATAATTGCAGTTTCTCGCTTCTCTGTACTTCTTTCACATTGTCCTGTTCTTGAGGATCTTGTCGTGGAACAAGATCAATCTCACCGTTTTGAAGCACTGAGTGTAATTGTCCCGTCGTTGCAGAGATTAACCCTAAAGATTCCTAGAGGAGTTTATTCTTAAGGGCTTGTGATAAAACACTCCTTTGAAGTATTTCAAAGTTAGTCATAGTGATAATAATAGTTTACTCCTACGAATCGGAAGTGATGTGAAAACGACCGAGGCCCAAATAATTTAGGAAAGGCCCAATTAGCTGATCCAGCACACAAGAAGAGAGCCCTAACGAGCCTAGGGAAGTGGAAGACAAGCCACCACCGGTCCATCCGACCATCACCGTGAGCCAAGTGAAGCTTTCCTCATGAAACCACACCGAGCCAACGTCTTCTCGATTCCGCCGAGTCACCATCGTCGTTGATCTGTTCCTCCGAGTCACCACCGTAAGAGATTCACGCTTTTCCATCGTCTTGCTTGTGACCTTATCTTTCCTGGTCGCTCGGACAAAACCTAATTCTCGCATTCTACAGGTTGGTGTTCCTTGTCAACGATAAAAGAACCTTGTAGATCACTGTGAAGATAAGATGGAGAACATCAGCCAGTTTCCTGATCATATACTTTTGAAGGTACTATCGTTTCTTCCAACAAAAGTTGCTGCAAGCACGAGTGTTTTATCGAAGCGATGGGAGTTCCTTTGGATGTGGTTGCCTAAACTTGATTATGATTCTCGCGATTGCACAAAGTACCAATCCTACAAGTTACGGGCTTTTATTGAATTTAGTCTGCCATTACATAGAGCTCCGGTCATAGAAAGCTTGCGTCTCAACTTTTCTACAGCTCCGGGATACCCTAAATCATTTAACGCATTGCATATCGAGAAGTGGGTTTTAATTGCAGTTTCTCGCTGCGTCCGTGAGTTAAGTCTCGAATTTTATCCTTTGAATACCCAACCTGTTGTGTTACCCAGTAGTTTGTATATCTGCAAATCTCTCGTGACCTTGGAATTGACCGACAACATTATGGTGGTTGTTCCTCGTGTGGCTCGTCTCCCCTCCCTGAAAACTTTGATCCTTCGACGTGTGTGGTACTCAGACGCAAAATCTCTTGGCCAGATTCTCTCTATTTCACCTCTTCTTGAGGATTTAGTTGTGGAACGAAATCAAGATAACGATAAGATTAACCCACTTGCACTGAGTGTAATTGTCCCGTCGTTGCAGAGATTAACCCTCAATATAGCTATAGGATCTTCTTTTGATGGGCTTGTGATAAACACTCCTTCTTTGAAGTATTTCAAAGTTAAGGTTTATAGGAATGAAGTATATTATGCAAGGGATAGTGATCATCAATATGAAAGTTACTCCTACGATTTTGAAGAGATGCCTAAGTTGGAGGAGGCGGATATTGAATCGTCTTACCCTGATATCAACAAGTTTGTTAGGTCAATCTCATATGTCAAGCGGCTTTCGTTATGCATATGTGTCAATGCCGAAGAGGTAACATGTTTACATTCATCTATCAATCTCATTTCTTGAGGTCTGAATCCTTCATTATTCATAAAACAATTTTGTGTGCAGGCTTTATATGGTGAGGGTATTGTCTTCAACCAGCTTCAGCATTTAAAGCTATGTTCATGTTATCTAAATTGGTCAATATTACTTGTCCGGTTACTCAAAGACTCTCCTAATTTACGAGAGCTCCATGTCTATCTAAAGGAGGTAAGTTTCTCCAAAACAGGCCTAGCTATATATTTTCTCTTGGTTTAGTTTTAATGTAAATATATATGTTTTAAGCCACGCTCTCTCTTGTTTGAGATCTCAGGATCATACACGTAGTTGTTTGGATCCACTGGTTTGCTGGGAGGATCAACTGGATTGTGTTCCTGAATGTTTGTTGACGAGTCTCGAGACATTCAAGTGGACAGGGATATCTGGATCACAAGAAGAGATAGACCTGGTGAAATATATCTTGAGAAATGCTTGTTTCTTAAAGACTGCGACGATCTTGTTTCGGGATAAACAAGAGATGATGATCCAAGAGTTGTCACTTTGTGTTCCAAGTTCAACAGCATGTCAACTCTTTTTTGGTTGAGGGTTTGAATCAGAAGATGTTTTCAGTTATATAATATGATCCAGAATTGCGTTTCATAGACATATGTGTATATCTATACATATGTGAATCGCAATTCTGAAAAAACATGCATTTTATTTTATCTGGATACAATATGTGTATTAAGATAGATGGAGAAGGGGACTTGCGGTTTAACGACGGCTTTAGGCCACATTTTTATTTCTAATTTTTAGGTCACATTTTCAGTAACAATGTTACTTGGTTGTGTTTCGATGAGACTTTAAGCTAACGAATCTGAATCTTGTAATGGTACGTCCTATCTTTTGTTTAAACTTTCCCTTTTATTGCAAAATAGAAATTCATATATTTTAAAGATATCAATGAAAAATATGTAATTGTAGATTAGTTGGGTTGAAACTGAAATTTTTGTCGCAACCTTTTTATAATATATGATCATGTGATAACATGTGTTTACAAAATAAAACTAAAAAAATGTAATAACATAAATAGAAAACTAACAAATTAATTCTAAAACAACTAACTAATTATGAATAAGAAAATTTATAATGGTCTGAGGCAAAAAAAATTGAAAAAAAAACATGATAAATAGAAAATTAACAGAACAATTATAACATTAAAAATATATATAATTGACCGATATTCTAATTTTAAATAGATTAATTGTCAATTTTTTTGGTAGGCAAAAAAATACCAAGAAAAAGATTTCATCAATTGAAATCTCTTAAATAGAATAATCAAAATTTTCATGATTTAATTAGCCTATCAGATTTAGATTAGATACGTGTAAGCCTTTCTATATTAGATAAAAAGAAAAAGAAAACAAATTAATTCATTTTCATATCATTAAATTAAACAAAATGTCAATTATAATTGAAATGTAAAAATATTACCAATCTTATTTTATTTAGAGATTTGAATATTATTCTATTTACTTTTAAAAGTAACCAGATTTGGTTTAATATTTTCCTATGATTTATTTCATTAATATTAAAATAAATCCGCCTAAGCTAGTATAGAATTATAATTCAACAAAACAGTCAGTTAATATTAAAAAATTTAGATCCAAAATATCTGAAACATAAAAGCAAAATACATAGCAAGCGATACTTGAAGCCAAGTACAAAAAATTCCAAATGATAAACCAGATTGCAAAGAGTTTTCTCTTCTAACACGAATGGCTAGAATCGAACAAAAATTCATCAGACCATTATGATATCAAGCTCTATCTGACCTTTAGCAAGTTCCTTAAGCTTGGTGATTGCTCCCTCTATCTCCAAGTTTGTACTTGGAGAAAACGACAACAATGGTTTGATTTTCATAGTCTCGATCACCGTCTCTTGCGTTATCAAACGCGAGGCTAACGTGTACTCTTCTTTTGAACCACTAAAGTTAATCAACCAGACAGTATTTACACTGAAGCGAGCATCAGGAAATAGTTTTGTCTCTTCCCAAAACTTCTCATGTATTATCCCAGTAGATTTTTCACCTTGTTTCATCGGAGCATTACTTTTCTATACATGCAAGAAAAAGAAAAAGAAAAATGATGTGTAATACAAGCAAACGTTGTGAATAAACATAAACATGGTTAATTCCATCCATATCCAATAATAAATTACCTTGAATAAGATCTCAAGTTCTTCCATTTCTTCACGCCATGAAACTAAGACTTCTTGTAGCATCTCAACTTCTTTTGTATTTGTCAAGTCTACACTCACCGACAGGGAAAGCGATGCAAATTTTCTCATTATGTTCCTGTATTCGTGTGCAATGCTTTTTTTCTCCTGCATATGTCCAATGCTTAATTCATAAATATGTCATAATAAGTATTACTTAGCAATTAGTCTCATAATACAAATACAAAAGAAAAAAATATATTTGTTTACCTGATCAGGGCACGAGATATTATAGCTGGTGTGAGGAACAAAATATCCTTTATTCCAATAGTTCCTGTGAAAATGGAGTCTAGGATTTGCAACGACGAAGTTCTCCATCTTACACGAGAGACATCCGATGGTGAGGATGTCCAGAGTTGGTGAAGACACTTCAACCCCATCAACATTGTAAGAGGATATGTACAAGAACTTTAAGTGGCGGTTGTCGATTTTCAGAGGACCACTTCTTGTGTGGCAATTGATTTCTAATAGAAGCACGTCAAGAGAAGGGCAGGACGCGAGAACTACGTTAAAGACTCCAATCTCGGCAACAACGGCATAGAGTCTTAGGCTCTTTAGATTCCAGCAGTTGTTGAAAGCATGTGGAGCTTCCAAGTTGTATCCACCTAAAGCGAGTGATTCGAGGTTTTGATTTGAAAATGAATTTGGAGGCAAATCAGGTGTGATGTGTTTGATGTTTCGCTTGAAAGGGCATAGATCTTTTTCAAGTGTGAGATGCTTGATGCGGTTCTCATGAATCAGTGATCGTATCCAAGCCTCTATCATCCCGTTTTCACATTGGTACGAGTAGAAATAGAGTGTGCATCTTTCTATATGGCCACGGTGATTGTTTATGACCTACAATGCCAAATAATAAATAGGTTTTGATTTTTAAAGTGTGTTTAATTTGAAGCATACCAAATGATGAATCCACCAAGCTCGAGTGAGCATGTAAAAGATAAATATTTTGTATGCAAGAATTTATTCTATGTACGATGAGGCAAGATTTAATTTAGATTTTCCTAGGATTCATATTCACTGATCCGATAACAATATTTCACAATCTAAATTCATTTCCAAATATACTAAAATATGAAGAAAATAAACCTAATACTTTTTCACGAAATACGAAATACGATTAACCTTTATTTTTCATAAAACACACAAATTTTCAAAATAAAATCCAATAAATGAATATAGTAGTACAGCAACACAACATGTCCTCCACAATAAATCTAATATCTCAAATAAATAGGAACCTCATTTTTCATAAATGTTGTAATTTTACCACAAACAATAGAAATGCATTCATGAGTTATCGTAAGGATTTGTACCAAAACATTAACCTAGATCATCATGTATCTATTTCATTATCCAAAAACCTTAAGAGAAACAAATGAGAAAAAGACATGGACCTTGGTCATCGATCTAGCGGCATCATGAGTATCAGCCAAAGGAGTTCCGACTTCGGCGAACCTTCGCAAGTCCAAGTGGAGATGAGACGTAGTCGTCTCCTTCCACAGATCCCCCCATCGATGTGATAGAACACTTGTTCTCATGGCTTCTTCGATGGACAAGTTTGATAAGATCTGAATCAGTAGATCGTTTGGGAGTTTGTTGATTCCATCAACGGCATCGACAAGGACACCTTTGTCTTGTGCATTAGATGATATATACTTTTGATCTCTTCATTGATTTTCACTAAAGGAATAGATGGGCTCTCTTGTGAATAAGAGATACACGAAAAAGAGATGATGCTTTTTGACTTGAGGTCTAAAAGTAAAGCGAGGTGAGGATGAGGTTTATAGATGCTTAATGTAGTTAATTACGAGGAGAAATGAAAGATTAAGGAAAGACATTTGGGGTTGTTGTGACTTGTCAGCAATGGAAATCCTTTTAAAGTTTATTTCCTTTTTGAATTTTCATATGGACAATATAAATTTATTTCCTTCTAGCACCTAGGAAATTGAGTCAATATAAAATAAAATGCTTTCCTTCTTAACATAATATTTACCAAATAAAAATTTCCTTTTACAAAATAGATATGCAAAAGAAAACAAATTTATATTGCAAATAAATTCTTCTAGTGCAAATAAAATAGAAAATTATGTGGTTCTGATTGCATTAAACATAACGGAAAAACTCCAGCAAATTCAATAAAAAGTCGAATTCTAAAAAACAGATTACTGAAACTAGCATCATATATTTTAAATATTAATTATATATTTTAATTTATATTTATGTAAACATGTGGTGTTAAAAAGAAAACGTTAGGCCTATTGTTGCGAATCTTCGTGAAAATAACATTAACTAGCGGGGAAAATGTCATTTTTTATTCTTTTTTTTTTTGATAATTTTTTTTTGAAAAATATTAAGCAGGTACATGCATGCATCAAGGAGATTTATTGCATAATTAGTAAAATAATAAGCGGCAACAAAAATGTCTTCCTTTCCTTCTGATGCATGCATGCATCAAGGAGCTTTGTTGCCAGTTGCAATATAAACTTAAATAGAAGTAGATATTTTTAGAGTCAATTAGTAAAATAGTAAATATGTGATCCTCTAATTAGCCTTTCTAGAAAGAAAAAAGTTAGCCTTTCTAGAAAATGTGATAATGGATTCGGTGATTCAGGAACGTTGGAGGATTCTCACATCCTCTTAAAACCCTGTGTAAACAAATCGTGCGAATCCACTTAGTGAACAAAGAAAAGAAAAAGAGAGCAATGCTAAGAATAGGATTCAAACTTGCCTTCCATTGACATAATTGGATATATCGATCTTTTTAAACCAAATTTGATATACACTATTACTATTTAATATATATATATTTTTTAATGTATTGTAAAATTTATTCAAAAACCGGGGGGAATTACCAAATCTAGACCACAATTTCATTTTTTCTAGTCAACTAGACCACAATTTGAATCAAATGCAAAAGTAACCTCTTTGGGTAGTAAAATTACCCCACAAGCCCTCATGACCAAACAAAAAAACGCATGCCTCGATTACGATTATAACCTCCAGGGCATGTAGATCTAGAGACAATGTTAGAGGTCTACCTCATAATAACATCTTAAATTTTAATTAATAATTCAATAAAAAATATTTTTATACAAAAACAAGTATGAATAATTCTAATATAGACATTATCATCTACAAAAAATATAAATGCATACAAATGAATCATTTATAGATAAGCAAAGACATAGGTTAATATCTATAAAAATGTTTGAGGTCTACCGAGTAAGTCTACTATATCATTAAATTTAAATTTTTATTATAAAAATTGAAAAAAAAATATTTTGAGGAAAATTATTTATACATAATTACAATACAGACAACTTGCAT